ACTTAACATTTACTGATTGACCATCATCATTGGGGAGATTTTCAAAGCATCCTTCATGTGTCTCCACGTTGAACTCATACCAGGGAGAGGGAAGACTCCTGCTACCATGAGCTGCTGTTCAGAATGATGCTACAAGTCTCATCTCTAGAGCCAGCCAAAGACCACTGAAGCAGTGGCATGAGGTTCAGTGTTGTGTAAGAGGAGACCCTGCCTTAACAAAAACTTACGATTCTCATAACTTCAAACCAAAGAAAATGAAGAAAACCAAAATTCAGGTTATAGGTGGTAAAGGCTCTTTTTGTAACAGTGCATGTGGTAGTTAGACAAAATGTATTTAGTGACTTTAAAAATAAACATTTTCACATAAGAAAGGGTATCATGTTTCATTTCACATACATTATAAATAGCAAAAAGATTTCTATTCTCACAACTGCTAGTACATGATGTTTCAGACATTATAACTTAGGTACATGGAGACCACCAGTAATGAAAAAGATGCCTTTACTTTTCCCTCAACTCAGGGGTGAATGGTTCTCACCACCTGTCCAATGACCACACATCTGTAGGAAGAAACTCCATGGAAAGAAGGGGGAAGCACAAAGTTAAAAAGAACTAGGCATACTATACATGTGTATTTACAGTAAACTTCAGGAACAAGTATATTAACAAAAATAGCTTCAAGTAGTCCTTGATTTTTTTCATCTAATACTGATGGTCTGAGAAAAAAAGAAGACAAAAGTTAAATAGATCCTATGAAAACTTTCTACATTTCTTTTGGCAGCTTTCTATAACACTCATGCAGTGTTGTATGTGAGACCTTGTAGAGAAGTGACAACATGGTCACATTTCTGTCTGAGTCTATGGTGGTGTCCCACCAGCAGATGAACAGGCTCCCATACAGTCTTCAGTTTCGTCTATACAACAACAAAAGCCTGGGTCAATCAGGACGAAGCCTTCACATTTAGGGATTACCTAAATGTGTCTGTGCCATAGAAAACAAAGACTAGAGGAATCTGATCTGATAATCAGGACAGTATGGCTACAGAACTTTATCCCATGCAATAATATATTTGGCAGGAACTAACCAGTATTGATTACTATGATATCAACATCAACAAAAGACAAAGCATGGTCTCTTCACTGTAGGACCAGATAACCGAGACATGCTCTGATGGCTTAATGGAAATCATAGTTTATGTTTCCAAAATATAACATGGAATATTTTTAAATTAAATTTAAAATAGATGGCTTGGGCTTTTTACTTATAAATCCTTGTGGAAAATATATTCTACCACAGCTACTAACTATCCCAATACAAACTCATGGTTAAGAGAGGTTTGTGTATTTTCTTCAAATGCTAGAAATGAGAGCATTCCTCAGGATCACAACAGCCTCCTAGTTCAACAACTATCTGTGGGAAGGGAAGGTCGGTGGGGGAGAGGCAACTACTGTTGGCCAAAATCCCCCTAGGTGGCTTTGTTTAGTGGAATCTCAAATACAGCAACCAAGGCACAGCTGGCCCATCCCTAGCAAGCTTCAGAGAGGCCACTTCTGCAGGAAGCCCAGCGATCCAGCACACAAACTGCTGAAACAAGAGGCAGAACCATTAGGACTGACTGTTATGGACAAAGTGACCAGAAGAGGCCCCAAAGATGAGATGTGTTCACCACTCTAGCCACATGGGGACACATCTGTCATTCAAACCATAAACTCATTATTTCCAAAGAGTGGTAGCTGCTGTGTAGAGCTGCAGTCAGGGTCCACCGTTTTCTTTCGGCCAGATGTGACTGTCCCCTCTGGGGTCTCTTTGGTTTTCTGAGGTGAATTTTTCACATTCTTTAGTTTTTGTTTGCCCTTTTCAGGGTTGAAGGTTCCTCTGCTGATGAACTGAGGCCTGTCTTCTAGGGATTTGGCTTGGCCTAGTGGTCCTTCCGTTCCCAGGGCCTCACAAGCTGAGGCAGCTCGGTAGAATGGAGACTTGGAATAAATCTGAAATCGTTTTCTAGTGCCATGAGATGATGTAGTGTTAGATAAACATGAAGAAACGGAGGAGTCCACAGAGTCTGGCTGCTTTCTTAGTGGCTTTCGCAACTTGCTTGAAGGCTCAGACTTGGCAGCTGTTTTCAGGGAGCTAAGGGCTAAGCTTCTCTCTAATGTAAACACAGAAGACAAAATTGTACATGACAGTGTCTCTTAAGAAACATCAAGGAATGAATAGAAGCCAGTGTTCACATGTGAAAATGAATGGGTCAAAGTTGTGAGGGTCTAGCTGATCTACTTTGTGCAGAACCATTCCTTAAAAAACTCTCTTGGGTTGGGCCTGGTGGTGTACACCTTTAATCCCAGAGCTTGGGAGGCAGAGGCAGATAAACCTCTATGAGTTTGAGGCCAGTCTATATAAGTTCCAGGCCAGCCAAGAACTACAGAGTGAGACCTTGTCTACAAACAGACAAACCCTCTCCATCCACTTCTACAAATACTTCATAGTAACTCCCAGAGAAGTCTGGTATGTTTGAGTATGAGGCCAGCAGAGACCTACAATCGTCACCATTATTCCAAAGGTTCTGTCTCCCTGAGATACACAATTAAACACTTCCTTTGGTGTAACAATTCCACCTTACAACAGGGCACTCATTCTTAGGAAATGGCCATGAGATGAACATACACTGAGATTACTGGCTTGTCCCCCCATGGTAAGTTACCAAAATTAAATTACCAACTGCATTACACTGAGTGTGAGTCTAATGAATAATTATGAGGAAGCATCACAAAGACCTGTGATTCCTTAGGAATCTGTCATATTTTCATGTGAGATCAGTGCATTTGTAAAACATTCTCAACTTAGCTTGGGAATTTTTTGTAAGACAGGGTTTCTCTATAATAGCTCTGGCTGTCCTGGATTTGTAGACCAGGTTGGCCTTGAAATCAAGAGATCCACCTGCCTCTGCCTCCTGAGTGCTGGGATTAAGGGTATGTGCCACCATGCCTGGCTTGGAGATTTTTTTTTTTTAAGACCATTAAAAAATTTGTTTATATATTTGTGTGTGTGTGTGTATACTTTGCTTGCATGTATGTATGTGCACCAAGTGCCTGGCACCCTCAGAGGACAGAAAAGGGCATCAGATTTCCTGGAACTGGAGTTACAGACAGTTTTAAGCTACCATGTGGATGCTGGGAATTGAACCCAGATCCTCTGAAGAGCATCCAGTGAGTATTCCTAACCACTGAACCATCCCGCCAGCCCAGCTAGGGAATTCTTATTCCTTCTTGACAAAACAAATTGTGTCTCTAGTGTAATATATTCATTTATCAGATCTCTCAAAAATGGTACCTTCAGAATCCATATTCAAATTTTCTGAGCTATCAGCAGTCCCAATAGAGGCCTCAGACTCAAGGGTTTCATCATCAGAAGCACGAGGTTCCAATATAAGCATCTCAAATGTTAGTTCTTCCCTACAAGATACAATCAATAAACTCGTTAACATGATAGGAAGCAGAAGAAAGATGACAAAAAAGACTTTCCATGAAAGCAAAGAAGCTAAATGGCAAAGACATTCCCTGCTGTCCCACCAAGGTGATGAAGAGGATTTATTTATATGCAAAGGAATAAGTGGATGACAACAGGAGATGACAGGAATGGTGAGACAGGCTGAGGCAGGTTGCTGTAACTGAAGCATTCTGAGATGAACTCTGGACTGAAAACTAGAGATTCTAAATTCATTCATGAAGTATCAGCAAGTACTGTTCTCTCTCTGGACCTCAGCCTCTTCATCCAGAAAACACACTAGACTGTCTCCAAAATTCTTTTTAGCTCTTAGATTATGTTCGACAAATAGAAGCTTAACTAACTAAACACAGACTTTATCTTCTACCTTGATCACATCAAGGCCTTTGGATAAGTAAAACATTGCACTTGTTTGGCCTGTAAAGCTTACATTATCTCTGCCTACAGTATATTCTAATTCATCAGGATCATGCACCTATATTTCAGTGATATCCTTTCATTTTACTAAGTTACTAAGATTTGGCTTCTAACCTTATTTCCTTACTAGGGTCCTAGCAACACCTTGATTTATTTCAATTAGTACCTTCACAAAAACTCATTTCAAAATCTAGTACCAAAATATCTTTATGTCTGCAACTTTTTCCCTCTGCATTATTGACTTTTTCCAGTGAACAAATCATATAGCTTGTCAATTCCTGGTACTCTGCTAGCTCTGACTCTAGGTTTTTCTTTAGATCAAGTCTCCTCCTGTCAGACCCTTCCTAGCCTTCCTTCTACTTGAAAAGCCTGAACTCCACAGATCATCTTTTTAAGCACAGCCTTGCCAGCTGCTCGCTACTTCCATGTGCAGTCACACGTCTGAGATTTATGCTTATACTTCTGCACTCTCTCTTTCCTAACCATTTCCTATTTATCCCTCTCTAAGACCATGCTCACCAGAGCTGAGGTAGGTCATCTTTCCAGCCCTTGGTTAAGTAACTACTGCCTCACTTTTTCCACAGCTGAGCCTTAGCTGCTTTTCAGTTGCCCTAAATTCCAGAATCAATCCTAACATTCAAGTTTCCTAATTCTTCATGAATCAAGTTCTCAGACCTAAGAAGTGAGCTATAGGGACTCAAGGAAACCTTTAGGATTTCTTAAAAGCGTAATGCATGTCAATCAGAACTAGTACATAGTACCTTCAGGGAGAACCATGGGATATTCATCTTCCTAAGGGGTAATGTCAACCCATTCCTGCCAGAGTGATGGAGGGAACAGAATTTCTTAGCTTTCCTCTTTGAAATCACAACAGGTTTCTCTACCCAGTATCCCAGAATCTAGTGCAGGTGCTGCCTTAGTCTATCTAGTTGTTGGACCCATGGTCATACTGATTTCTAAATAATAACATGTTATTATTCCTTTATGTAACTGCAACTAATGCCTATGCATGGAGAGAACTTTGTCTTAGCCAAGGGACTCTTACTCTTCTTTTTGCAAAACACATCTGTTTATGCAGGCTGGTCTCTGACTTGTCAAGACTGGAATACCTCACCTTGGCTCTCCATTGTTCATGCCTGTTGAATATGGACTAAGACAGCATACACTAGGTATGTATACTCTCCTATTCCCACTGCTCAGCATCAATATTCCTATCTCATGGAATTTCCTTCCCTGAGGTGAGAATTTCCACACTCACCTTGAGTATAGGCAACAAGTCTCTGATAACTCCACATCCCTTGGACCACCTGACATAGCACTTGACACAGGAGATAAGGAACTAATGAGGGAAAATAAAGGGTAGAAGGAAGGAAACACAAAAGACACCGCTATCTCCTCTTCTCTGGACACTTACTTCTCCTTCTGTAAGTTCTCAATCTGCTCAGTCAGCACTTTCTCCTCCTGCTGCATTGCTGCTTGCTGCTGTTCTGTGATGTCAGTCTCCATGGCTGTCTCACTAGTCATGGTTTCTTCAGGGACATCAGACATGGAAGGCAATCGGACTATAACAGGAGAGGATGGACTTGGGTAGTTTCCGCGATGCATACGCCCCTTTCCCTGCAGAGAAATTGATTTTAGAAAGTAAACTACCTGTGTCAGTTTTACGTTGATCACTTTGGATAACAAGTGTCCTTCCATCACATCATGAGAATGAAAGGACTGAACAGGCATAGGATATTTAGTAAGATACCATAAATCCAACAAATTAGGTTAGAAGAATTCTATCAAGAACACTGAAACAAGGACATACATTTCCAGGCCTGGGTGTTAAGAACCGATGTGCTGAGATGAGAGGCTTCTTTTAATCCAAGCTATGCACTAAACAGCTTCAAGCCAATTAAAACCGAGTTATGTAGTCACAGGAGCCACGTTTCAGCCATTCCAGAGCCAGAGGCAAAGAGTGGCTACCACACTAACATTGAAGATATATGTTATTTTCAACATTGTAAGAAGTTCTGACAAAGCTTAACAGCTTTAACCTTGTAAGGACAATCTCTTACTGGGCAGATCAAAAAAACATGTCCTGAAGCTAAAGTTTTACAGGGAAAAACATCATACAAGAGATCACTATTGTGAATTTTTCTTAAGAATTTTCTATTTTTGACATGAGAGAGGGAAAAATCTCATTATTCTTTTAAATGTTACCTTACATATGAATTTTAGTTTCTGGTTATAGCTGACTAGGTTTAACAGATTGAATCTCCTGCCAAGACGATTAGATCAACATTAAAAAAACAAAACAAACAAACAAACAAAAAAAACAAAAAAACACATGCTTGAAAATACTGAGTATCTAAGGGGCAAAAAAGGCCCAGCACTTACTAGTGATTTGCAGTTTCAGGAGAGATGGCGGAGTCTGAGCAGAACTTTGAACATATTATAGTTGGTAACTATAGCACAGTCCAGCAATAGTCAGGAGCTACATTAGCCTGTATATATGTTTACAAATCTTTATCAGAATAAACTCATTATTATTTATGAACTATCTGTGGCTGTTTTGTTCAACAGTGGCAGAGATGGCCACTCTGTTCAACACTGATCCTTCAGAGAAAAAGCTTGCTAATAACTGATGTACAGAATAAAAGGGTATGAGTTGCTGCCCCATAAAACCTCCATGCCTAACACTGGGATCCCCAAGGTTTGCATTCTAGACAGAAGGGTAAACTGAAATTATCACAGTTCTTACAGATGTGATAGCCTAGCTTCAAGTCATCTAAATGGTCTATATATATTTGGTACAAAAATTTTTAACTTCTAAGACTGGATTAAAATGATGAACTGCTAGTGCCCAAGGATCTTGCAAAAAATAAAATTACTCTTTGCAGGTAAGCAATGTCATCCCAGGTCTCAAAATACTTTCTACAAATCATTTTTTCAAATAAAAAATAACCAGGAATAAAAGGAGATAAGTCAGCGGTTGGTGGTGGCACACGCCTTTAATCCCAGCACTGGGAGGCAGAGGTAGGCGGATCTCTCTGAGTTCGAGGCCAGCCTGGTCACAGAGCCAGTTCCAGGACAAAGCTCACAGAGAAACCCTGTCTCAAAGAACAAAACAAACGAACAAAAAACCCAAAAATCAAAAAAAGGAGATAAGACAATGCAAATGAAAACAAACAGATGACAAAAGCTCTGAAGAATTATGGCTACCAGACAAACTTAAAGATCAACTGTTCAAGCAGGTGGGAAAACATAATCCAATTAAGTAGAATGGAAGTGAAGTCTTTCTAAAAAATACCCAAAATCAAGCCAAGAGAAACCAACACAAAAGGAAAATTTTATAGAAGATGGTAAAAGAGAAAAAAAAAAAAACAGTAAAAAAAAGACCCACAATATGTTTAAATACTAGGTGAATAGAGGTGAAGAGGTAGTAGACTAATGTATAGACTAATATGCTAAGTCATAAAACATTAAAAAAAAAATCAATGCTGTTAAGTGACTGATTTAAAGGTCTACATATGTCTACACAGGAGGACAAAAATGTTAAGGTCTGTATTTAGAAACATTACTAAAAACCCAAGCCAAGAAAAAAATCTTAAAAGCAGTCAGAAACAAACAAAAACAAATTCCCTGCAAACAAATAGCAATACTTAGATTCTAAGCTCCACAGAAATAATGGAAGAAAAAAAAATAAGCCAAATACAAAAAGCAAGCAAACACACACACACACACACACACACACACACACACACACACACACACTGAAATATTTTTTTTAGGCTATGAAAGGAATAAGTTACCACCAATCTAGAACTGAACAGAAATCTTCAGGAATAAACTAGAGAAAGAGAAGACAAGGAAAATTTGGTCCAGGCAGATCTAAGCTAAAATAAGTTCTCAATGGTAGGGAGGAAATGCCCAAAAGAAAAGTTCGAGATTCAGGAATGAAAACACACAATGACAATGTACAGACTACTGAAAACAAAATGTTTTGTATTTAAAATCTACAAATAGCAAAAAGAAAAAAAAAAGGAAAAAAAAATCTGCTAATAGCAATGAAGTCAGACAATAACACATTCAAGTCCTTTCACATTATCTAGGAAAATGATAAAAAGTACCAATTAATGAACACTGAAAGGGTATAGGTTAATGATGTGATCTTTAGACTAAAGGAGTATAAAACCTCTAGCAGAATGAAAAATGGGATAATATCAAGTAAGGGGGAGGCAATAAAAAAGAACAAAAAAGTCCAGAAAGGAAAAAGGAACAACACATCAGGCAAAACAAATAAAATCTGCACAATAAAAACTGATCTAAAATATAAACATAGGGGCTGGAGATATGGCTCAGTGGTTACGAACACTGGCTGCTCTCACAGAAGACCTGGGTTCAGTTCTAGCATTCACATGCTGGAACTTACAAACACTGGAATTCCAATTTCAGAGCATCTGACACCTTCTTCTGGCCTCCTCGGATATCAAGCATGCCTGTGGTACACAGATATACATGCAGGCAAAATACTTATAAAAAATCCCAGCACTCAGGAGGCAGAGGCAGGTGGATCTCTTTGAGTTCGAGGCCAGCCTGGTCTATAGACTGAGATCCAGGAGAGGCACCAAAACTACACAGAGAAAACCTGTCTCGAAAAAAAAAAATTAAAAAAAATCCAAATGTAGTATCAACAGCATTAAATGTATACTGATCAAATAAATGCTCCTGTTAAGATTGGAAAATTGTCAGAAACATGTAATTTAAGGGCTACATATAAAATATTCAAAACAGTTGAAAGCAGCTGATGTGGTGGCTCATCTGTAATGCTAGCACTTGGGAGGCTCTAAGTTTGAAGCTATCCTAGAATACATGAGTTCCAGGCTAGGTTTACAGAGTGATACTATGTCTCAAACAAAAAGTTTAAAATAAAAATAATGAAAAGTTGCAGGTCATGTACTCTTTAATCCCAGCACTTGGAAGGCAGAGACAGGAGAAACTTTGTGATTTTGAGGGCAGCCTGGTTTGGTCTACAGAGCAAGTTTCAGGACAGTCTGTACTACATAGAGAGACCTTGTCTCAAGAAACAAACATAAAAGCTTAGGATAGGGTGAGAAGTGCCATTTATAACAGGAAGATATTTTAGAGTGACAAAAGCTAAATTATGAAGAAGGTATAGCATTTCCAAATTTGTATGTCTATGTATCTATAGCCATTTCTTAATGGCTTCAAATGATTTGAATAAAGTATCAGCAGAAGTAAATACATAGAAAAAACTCTAGTTTTTTTTTTTTTTTAGCACCAAGGGGTTAAGTATGCATAGTAAACTATTAAAGATCTAGCAGATACATTCTTCCACAGAATTAAAATGGACTATGTGGTGATATTTTGTTTGTGCTCTAACAAATAAAGCTTGCCTGGAGATCAGAGTCAGAGCTAACCACTAGAGGCCAAGCAGTGGTGGCACATACCTTTTGCCCAGCATTTGGGATCTCATGGCTTTATTCCCAGCACTTGGGAGGAGGAAATAGGAAGTGATATGGCTGGGCAGAAAGAGGAAGTGATAAGGTGGGGGGTGGAGATAGGAGCTTGGCTCTTTCAGGCTGAGGATGCTGCATAGGTAAGAAGTCCCTCTAGTGGCTGGCTCCTTTACTGATCTTTCAAGCATTTACCCCAGTATCTGGCTCTGGGTTTTTATTATTAAGACCAAGTAGGATTCGTGCTACAGGACTATGTCCCAATTTATTTGTTTGCTTGTTTATTTATTTATTTTGAGGCAGGGTCTCACTATGTAGTCTTGGTTAGCCTGGAACTCATTATGTAGACCAGGCTAGCCTCAAACTTACAGAGATCCACCTGCCTCTGCCTCCCTCATGCTGGGGGATTAAAAGCATGTGTCATGATGCCTTGCCGAAGTTATTTTTATACAAATTAGAAAAACACAACAAGTACATTTAAGGGAAGGGCATTCTAGGACAATTTTACATATAAGCACAGGAGCAATCAATGCCTGGGCAATCAATGATGGTTTAACATCGATAAAATTGACAATTCTCTAAGCCAGACACATAGCTTGAGCCTATAAAACCAGTGCTCCTGAGGCTGAGGTGGCAGATCACTGAAAATTCTAGGCCTGTCTGTGCTACATTTTTAAACATCTTAAAAAAAAGTATGAAAAATTTCA